ATTATCTTCTGTGTCTGTGTTAATTGGTTTCCCTTTTCTTTGTTGAAGAGGGTCTGTGCAATCCTTCTGCCTAGTCCGCCATCTTGCTGGAACTCCAGCTCATTTTTAATTTTTAAAGGTTTACTTATTCAGAACAGCTGAAAGGTGGTAAAAACACAAATATCCATCAACAGATGAATGGAAAAACAAAATATGGTACCTATATACAATGGAAATACTACTCAGCCAGTAAAATAAATCAAATCTTGTTACATGCTACAATATGGATGGAGCCTGAAGATATTATGCTAAACAAAAGAAATTAATCATAAAAGGGCAAATATTGTTTGGCTTCACTTATATGAAAAGACAAAAACAGGAATATGTATGGAGACTAAAGTTTATTAGTAGTTACCAAGATCAAAAAAGAATTGATGCCTTTGAATTATGGGGTTGGCAAAGAATATTGAATATACTATGCACTGCCAGAAGAACAGAGGGACCAGTTACTAAAGAAGGATATCATGTTTGGTAAAGCAGAGGGTCCATGGAAAAGAGGAAGACCCTCAATGAGATGGAATGACACAGTGGCTGCAACCCAGTGAGGAAGGCACAGCACTGGACAGTGTTTTTGTTGTACATGAGGTCACTATGGCTCAGACCTGACTTGATGGCACCTACCAGCAACAAAAAGTGGGGGAGATGAGAAAGGAGGGCTTATTGCTTACGCAGTACTGAGTTTTGGTTTCCAGTAATGGAAAAGTCACATTGACTAAGGGGAGGGTTGCACTGCCATTTATTGTAAGTGCTGTCAATAAGCTGTACACTTGTAAAAAGTGTAATTGGCAAAAAATGTATGATATGTTTACAACAATGATAAAAACAAAATAAAACAAACAAACAAACAAAAATGTGCAGCTGCTGAGGCTACTTATTTACAACCAAATACCATTTGGAAGTTTAGGATCATAGTTTCATGGTACATCTCAGTTAATTGGCCTATCAACCTATTTAGTGCTTCTGTTATACCTCCTAATTCATTACTCACTGCCTGAGGTTTTAAAGCCTTGTAAGCACCATCCAAGACACAGCAATCTGTCTCCCTATTCACTTGGAGCAACAGAGGAAGATGGAGAGTCAGGAATAGGAGGAGCAAATGGAATGTATTGGTAATTCCCTCCAAAAAAACTGCCTCCTTTGCATGAGACCAGAAGAATTGGATGGTGCCCAGCTACTACTGCTGAACATTTTAATGAAAGATTCTATTCAAGAATCCTGATCAGAAAAGGGACAATGCAGAAAAGAATTAAAAAACCTCATGGAATCCAAATTTTCTTAGCCATGGATGGTGGATGAACCTGTAAAATTACTGTCCTGAGATAATCTTTAAACCTCAAACCAAACATATTCCCTGAAGTCTTAAAAAACAAACAATAGTTTAGCTAAACTAGCAAAGAATGTCGGTCTTGAGCCATGTGTTCTTTTAAGATCTATCTACATGGGATCAAATTGACAACAGCAACTGGAATGAATAGTTAGGAAGCTTAGGGAACAGGGAATTTATGTAAGTGAGAGAGCAACAAGTCAGAAAAGAATGGTGAAAGTGGCTGCACAACTCAAGGAATGAATCAGTAGCACTGAATTGTACGTGTACGAACTGTTGAATTGGTGTAGGCTCTGCTGTGTATATTCTCAACATCAACATCAAAATAAATAATTTTTTAAAAAAGAAAAGAAAGGCTTTACTGAAATATAATTTATAGATCATACAATTAGCCCATTGAAAGTGTAGAATTCAATGGTTTTTAATATATTCATGGAGTTGTACAGTTGTTACCATACTAAATTTTAGAAATTTTCATCATCCCCAAAAGAAATCCCATACCCATAAGCGCTCACTCTGTATTCCTGGCAAACTCTTCCTAACCGCAGGCAACCACCGTCTTCATTCTGTGTCTATAGACTTGCCTGCTCTGGACATTTCCTGTAAATAGAATCGTACAATATGAGGTCTTTTGTGACTGGTTTCTTTCACCTGACACAATGTTTTCAAGGTTCATCCATATTGTAGCAAGTATCAGTACTTCATTTCTTTTTATTGCTGCATAATATCCCAATGTATGGATATACCACATTTTATTTATGCTTTCCTCAACTAAAGAACATTTGGGTTGTTTCCACTTTAGAGGTATAAATAACCCTGATAGGCTCTTGAGGCTAGCAGGATGAGTAATGCAAACAGTCCAGGACCACAGGAAAAAAGTTTAGCTCTCTAGCTGGGCATTCAAGGTTGCCTATTATCTGTCAACCTCTCCACCCTCCTCATCTCCTGATCCTTCCACCTGCATACGAAGACCTTACCCTTCCAAACATACCACACTGGCTTCTGCTCCAAGCCTAGCTAAGACCTCTCAGCTCCCCCTCTTTGGTTCCTGGATTTCCAAACCCATTCTATCGCTCAAGGTCCAACCCAAACCCTGTCTCCTACAGGATGCCCTCCCTAAATGTCCTAGCCCAGGGACTTCAGCCAGCCACTCCCTGAGACCTTGAAGTACACATACTGTCCCTGGCCAGTCTCACTAGTGAAACTTCATACTTTTACTCTTCCTTAATTAGATGATCATAGGAGAACATAGTTAACATTCACATGGGTACCGGGTAGCTGGTGATCCTGAAATCCTCTCTGTGCTACCCTGTGTCTTTGCATTTGCTGAGCTTCTGCACGGAGTGCTGCTCCTCATCTTTCTAGGCTCTATCTGGTTGCTCCCACTTCCTTCAATCCCTTGGAGAGACCCTTGCCAGTCCTCAGACAGTAACTCCTGAGATGTGGGGGATGCCTTCCATTCCTCCAGCTTCTGGTTTTTTGAGTCTACTCCTCACAGGTCATCCAAGTCCTATTGCTCTCCTGGAGGTCCTCTCAGGAAAGAGGTCATAAGCACTTCACCCCAGCACATTGTGCTCCTAACTGCAAGGAACACTATGCAGCTCACAGAGGGGGCCAGTTGATGAGGTTAAGTCACTCAAACAAGGACCCCCATCCAGAGAATGACACAACCAGGACTTGGACTCAAAGCACCCCACTCCAAAATGCTGTCTCTCTTGTTGGTAATAATGGGGGATTCAAGGCCCGCAGTACTGCTCTCTGCAGCTACTGAGAATACAGATGTAGGCCGCTATGAGAGAGTAAGGATTTGGGTCAGGGATGGATCTCAGGCCACTCTGCTCAGGGTCAGTTTCCTCTTTCCCTATTATTAGAAAGGAGCTTGGGGGAAAGCCAAGAGATTAAGTAACTTAAGAGGTGAAGTAACTTCTGATTTGCTGGGAATTCCCAGGCGTGGATTCTGATAAAAGAAGTCAGTTTGCTGAAGGGCAGCCCCACCCCACCCCAGGAAGTCATAAAATGAAGCAGAGGCTGCACACTGCAGACGGGCAAGATGAAAGGCACCGGGGTGCCTGCGCTGCTTCTGCTGCTCCTGGGTCTGACTTGGGCAGAGCCGACCAGCTTGACCAAGAACATCAGCCTAAGCCAGGCTGAGGCCTTGGAATTTGCCCTCAACATCTACAATGACCAGCCAGATAACAATGAGTATGCTTTCCGTGTCCTGCAAGTTCAACCCCTGCCAGAGTGGGTAAGAAGGAGCAGGGAGGCCCTAGGGCACAGCCCCCTGGAGCTGGACCATTTTGGAGGGATCAGGATGAAGGGTCCTGCGGCCCTGATATGCTGTGAGTCTTTAGGAAGATCTTCTCTGGGCTTAAGTTTCCCCGTCTGTGAGATAATGGCAGCCATCCCTTTGGGTAGTGCTGAACTTTCTCCATCTGGTATGGTAGATACGATATGTACTATGGTGTGGTAGAAATAATGCCAGATATGGGGGTCATGTGAACCTGGGTTCAGTTCCCTGCTTTGCCACCTTGGCTGCATGACCTTAGCTACTTCACTCCTCTTCTCTGATTCACAGTTTGGACCTGGTGGATGGTGGCAGGGTTCTTTCTGGGCCCTGGTGTTCCCACCTTCTGAGGGACAGGCTGGATCCTTTCTGGCTTCTTTTCACAAATGGACATGTTAACTGTGTGGACTGAGATTCCTATTGTTACCTTGCTGACAGGACCCAACATTATCAGAACCACAGTTGCTGCAGTTTGTCATCAAAGAGACGGAGTGCAAGATGGTAGAGGACCTCACCCCTGAGCACTGTCCCTTCAAGGATAATGGGGTAAGGTCCTCAGACCTTACCTTCTCATGTCTCATCCCACAGTTACAAAGTGAGTCATTGGCTCTGTTCTTTGGCTATATTTGCATCCAGAGCCCAATATTCCCTGATTCTACACTGCACTGGGGCTCCCGAATAAGTGACCATGTTCTGATCTTACTTTCCACAACAGCAAGTAAAGAACTGCGTGGCACTCATTGGAGTTGGTGCAAAGGGTCTCACTGTGGTACCCACCTGTGAACCTCAAAAGTCTGCAAGGGTGAGCAAACTCCTGGGGATCTTGAAGAAGGAGGAGGGGAAGAACACAGGGTCCAGGGCCCAGAAATACAGATTGGGGGGTTTTAGAGACAAGGGCAGAGTTGGAGAACTGCACCATCACTTGTTGGACAGGCCTCTTACCAGCCCTGAGTGTCTTCTCAGAGTCTAACAACAGTGACTTAGAAAAGATGACTTGTAGCTGAACACTATTCTATTCAGTGAACTGAGCGAGCCACTTCACTGCCCTGAACCTCAGTCTCCACAGAGTAGGGGGTTCCTGCACTTATGTATACATTGGAATCACCTGGGAAGAATTTTTAAGCTACTGACTCAGGCATTACACCCAGAATCTGATTTAATTGTTCTGGAGTAGGGTCAGGATTGAGAAGCCCTGGGTGGAAGCTTCAGAAGGCCTTTTATGAATTAAGTGCCCAGTGAGTTTTGTCTTCAGCAGGTGGAACTGTGATTTACAGATAATGTTGAAAAATAGGCAAAGCCACAAGGCCTGGGGAGGGTTTATAAAAAACAAAAACAAAAACAAAAAACAGTTGTCATTGAGTAAACCCAACTCACGGAGACCCCATATGGACCAGTGTAGAATTATGCACCTTGGGGTTTTCAGTGGCTGAGTTTTTAGAAGTAGATCATCAGGCCTTTCTTCTGAAGTGCTGTGGGTGGACTTGAACTTCTAAGCTTTAGGTTAGCAGCCGAATGTGTTAACTAACAATTTGTGCTACCCAGTGACTGTTGGGAAGAGTATATACCAAACCAAACTCACCGTCATAGAATAGATTCCACCTAATGATGACACCCATAGGATTGCCAAGACTGTAAATCTTTACAGAAGCAGATTGCCTGATCTTTCTTCCATGGAGTGTCTAGTGAGTTCAAACCAAACTTTTGGTTAGCAGCCAAATACCTTAATCACTGCATCACCAGAGCTCCATGAAAAGAGTATACAGGGAAGGCAAAACTTGAGTTGGGCATGAAGAACAGATGGGTACAGAGTTGGGGCTTTGCTACTGAGGGTTCTTGAGGTAGAGAAAAGAATGTTGAGGGTAAGAGAGGGGTCTTGTGGGAGGGGGATGCTCGAGAACTGCCAGGCACTGACCAACCATACCCTCAAACCCTGGGGTAAGAGACATTCCCATGGGCTGTCAAAGCTGGAAGTCATTTTACAGGTTCTCCACCAAACACAGCCTGCACACACACACTCACACACATGCGTGTATACACCTCCTCCACCTTATAGCTGAGAAGGAGTGATATGATAGTTACCCAGTGAACTATTTCGATCAGTAATTCTCAAAGTGTGGACTCTCTACACTAACAGCATCAGCACCTACTGGGAACTTCTTAGACATCAACATTCTCAGGCCTCACCCAGACATAATAAATCAGAAACTCTTGGTGTGGAGCCTAGCTATCTCTGTTTAATGATTCCTGTGGGTGATTCTAATGCACTATGATATTTAGCAATAGAACAATAGAGACATGAATGATCAGAGCTGGCAGGGAAACCAGCTTGGAGGGGAAACCAAGGTTCAGAGAGGTTGAGTGATATGCACAGGATCACACAGAAAGCTAAGCATAAGACTGGGCCAGCTGGGGGCCTCTCCTCACTGCCAGTCCTCTCTGGGTCCTCCACACTTGTTCCTTCCAAACATGCGTACTTGAGGACCATCCTATCCTCCTAGCCTTCAGACCCTGCCTTGGATCATGCCAAAATTCTCTACTAATCTCCCTCCACTCTTGTGCAGCTGGTACAAGCTCTGAGAGGCCTAAAAAAATTCTTCAAGAAGCTGAAGGACAAGGTGAAAAAACTGTTTCCAAAGAATCCCGATGACCTAATTCCATGGCCCTTTTGTAAGACTGTGAGTGCCTAGATCCAGTCTACTTACCATTCTTTTATAGTCCTCCATCTTGGCACCATCCTGAACCATCTACTGTGGACTGTCCTGGCTCAGCACAATAAAATCTCAGCTCAAAACCTAGTCCGTGTCCTCCTTCCTCTTCTCGTGTCCTATTGCAGAACCCCAGAGGACTCCAAGACTGCCTCTCCCTGCATTCTGCCTCCACTCCAGACCAGTCTTTCCCATCTCCCCCTATATCTCAGACCCCCAACTTTCATCTAGCCTCCTTGTCACTGCAACAATAGGACACCCAGGGCCAGATCACTTCACATAGGTCATGGATAGACTTAGAATTGGAACCTCACACAGCTGGCTACACAGATATGTAATGTTGAGGTGATGAGTTAGCTGTGGTGGCAATATCATTCTAGTTCAGGTGTGACCAATGCTACCCCTTGGCTCACAAGAAGTCATGGGGAAGGTGGCAGAGGCTACAGCCTTAGGAGGGGAGAAGTGTGGGAGGAGATTGGACTTGAGATGGAGTGAGGGCACCAGGGCCTGGGGAACAGCCTGAGCAATGGTAAGGTGGCCAGCAGGGGTTGTCAAGGAGACAGGAGGGGTGATGCTGGAAGCAGTTATATAAGACACGGGATAGTGGGCCCCAAGACACTCGGTGGAGACCCAGAATAGGAAACTGAGGACTTGTTCTGAGCCTCTCAAGTGTGAGCAGAGCATGGCAGTTATGTGGGCTCAGAGGTTGCAGAGGCTGAAGTTCCCAAACTCCAGAAGGAACCTAGGACAGAACTAAGCCCACCTCAGATACCACCTTTCACAACAGTAACCAGGGATACCAAAGAACATTGGACAAAAACTTGTCCAGAGCCAATCACTAAATTTCTAAATGACCAATACACACAGTTAACCAAATTTACTGATTTGCCTACACCTATAACCTGTAACCTACCACCATCTGTCAGTTTGTCATATTGTGGTGGGCTTGTGTGTTGCTGTGAGGCTGGAGGCTATGCCAATGGTATTTCAGATACCATCAGGGTCACTCGTGGTGGACAGGTTTCAGCAGAGCTTCCAGACTAGGACAGATTTGAAAGAAGGAAGGGACCGTCTACTTCTGAAAGAATTGACTGGTGAAAACCTTATGAATAGCAGCAAAACACTTTCTGATATATTACTGGAAAACTTTATGAATAGCCCTAAAACATTGTCTGATATAGTGCTGGAAGATGACCCCCTTGGGTCAGAAGGCACTCAAAATAAGACTGAGAAAGAGCTGTCTCTTCAAAGTATAGTCGATCTTAATGTCATGGATGGAATAAAGCTATTGGGATCTCCACTGCTAATGTGGCAAGACTCAAAGTGGGAAGAAACAGCCACAAACATCCATTAATTATCAGAACATGAAATGTATGACGTATGAATCTAGGAAAACTGCAAGTTGTCAAAAATGAAATGGAATGCATAAAGATCGATATTCTAGGCATTGTTGTTGTTTGCCGTCAAGTCAGCCCCGACTCATAGTGACCCCTCCTTGGGTTTCCGAGGCAGTACCACTACAGAAGTAGGATTGCCCAATCCTCCTTCCGAGGAGTGGCTGGTGGGTTTGAACCGCCAGCCTTCTGGTGAGCAGTCAAGTGCCTTAGGCACTATGCTACCAGAACTCCTGCATTAGTG